TATTCCGTTCAAGAATCGGATGAATATTTCCTAAGATATGGCCTTCGCAGTGGGTTATATGGGGCTCCCCATGCATTCTGCACATTTTGAAGGGGACAGCCCAGAAAATTTGACAAAAAATCTTTAAAATCTTTTGTTCCCAGATTTTAATGCAGATTTATGGAGAATCGACCCACAAATCGTTTAAGGTATTCCGTTCAAGAATCGGATGAATATTTCCTAAGATATGGCCTTCGCAGTGGGTCATATGGGGCTCCCCATGCATTCTGCACATTTTGAAAGGGACAGCCCAGAAAATTTGACAAAAAATCTTAAAAATATTTTGTTCCCAGATTTTGATGCAGATTTATGGAGAATCGATCCACAAATCGTTTAAGGTATTCCGTTCAAGAATCAGATGAATATTTCCTAAGATATGGCCTTCGTAGTGGGTCATATGGGGCTCCCCATGCATTCTGCACATTTTGAAGGGGACAGCCCAGAAATTTGACAAAAAATCTTAAAAATATTTTGTTCCCAGATTTTGATGCAGATTTATGGAGAATCGATCCACAAATCGTTTAAGGTATTCCGTTCAAGAATCGGATGAATATTTCCTAAGATATGGCCTTCGCAGTGGGTTATATGGGGCTCCCCATGCATTCTGCACATTTTGAAGGGGACAGCCCAGAAAATTTGACAAAAAATCTTTAAAATCTTTTGTTCCCAGATTTTAATGCAGATTTATGGAGAATCGACCCACAAATCGTTTAAGGTATTCCGTTCAAGAATCGGATGAATATTTCCTAAGATATGGCCTTCGCAGTGGGTCATATGGGGCTCCCCATGCATTCTGCACATTTTGAAGGGGACAGCCCAGAAAATTTGACAAAAAATCTTTAAAATATTTTGTTCCCAGATTTTGATGCAGATTTATGGAGAATCGATCCACAAATCGTTTAAGGTATTCCGTTCAAGAATCGGATGAATATTTCCTAAGATATGGCCTTCGTAGTGGGTCATATGGGGCTCCCCATGCATTCTGCACATTTTGAAGGGGACAGCCCAGAAATTTGACAAAAAATCTTAAAAATATTTTGTTCCCAGATTTTGATGCAGATTTATGGAGAATCGATCCACAAATCGTTTAAGGTATTCCGTTCAAGAATCGGATGAATATTTCCTAAGATATGGCCTTCGCAGTGGGTCATATGGGGCTCCCCATGCATTCTGCACATTTTGAAAGGGACAGCCCAGAAAATTTGACAAAAAATCTTAAAAATATTTTGTTTCCAGATTTTGATGCAGAGTTATGGAGAATCGATCCACAAATCGTTTAAGGTATTCCGTTCAAGAATCGGATGAATATTTCCTAAGATATGGCCTTCGCAGTGGGTCATATGGGGCTCCCCATGCATTCTGCACATTTTGAAGGGGACAGCCCAGAAAATTTGACAAAAAATCTTTAAAATATTTTGTTCCCAGATTTTGATGCAGATTTATGGAGAATCGACCCACAAATCGTTTAAGGTATTCCGTTCAAGAATCGGATGAATATTTCCTAAGATATGGCCTTCGCAGTGGGTCATATGGGGCTCCCCATGCATTCTGCACATTTTGAAAGGGACAGCCCAGAAAATTTGACAAAAAATCTTAAAAATATTTTGTTCCCAGATTTTGATGCAGATTTATGGAGAATCGATCCACAAATCGTTTAAGGTATTCCGTTCAAGAATCGGATGAATATTTCCTAAGATATGGCCTTCGTAGTGGGTCATATGGGGCTCCCCATGCATTCTGCACATTTTGAAGGGGACAGCCCAGAAATTTGACAAAAAATCTTAAAAATATTTTGTTCCCAGATTTTGATGCAGATTTATGGAGAATCGATCCACAAATCGTTTAAGGTATTCCGTTCAAGAATCGGATGAATATTTCCTAAGATATGGCCTTCGCAGTGGGTTATATGGGGCTCCCCATGCATTCTGCACATTTTGAAGGGGACAGCCCAGAAAATTTGACAAAAAATCTTTAAAATCTTTTGTTCCCAGATTTTAATGCAGATTTATGGAGAATCGACCCACAAATCGTTTAAGGTATTCCGTTCAAGAATCGGATGAATATTTCCTAAGATATGGCCTTCGCAGTGGGTCATATGGGGCTCCCCATGCATTCTGCACATTTTGAAGGGGACAGCCCAGAAAATTTGACAAAAAATCGTAAAAATATTTTGTTCCCAGATTTTAATGCAGATTTATGGAGAATCGACCCACAAATCGTTTAAGGTATTCCGTTCAAGAATCGGATGAATATTTCCTAAGATATGGCCTTCGCAGTGGGTCATATGGGGCTCCCCATGCATTCTGCACATTTTGAAGGGGACAGCCCAGAAAATTTGACAAAAAATCTTTAAAATATTTTGTTCCCAGATTTTGATGCAGATTTATGGAGAATCGATCCACAAATCGTTTAAGGTATTCCGTTCAAGAATCGGATGAATATTTCCTAAGATATGGCCTTCGCAGTTTTGATGCAAGATATTTTGTTCCCAGATTTTGATGCAGATTTATGGAGAATCGATCCACAAATCGTTTAAGGTATTCCGTTCAAGAATCGGATGAATATTTCCTAAGATATGGCCTTCGTAGTGGGTCATATGGGGCTCCCCATGCATTCTGCACATTTTGAAGGGGACAGCCCAGAAATTTGACAAAAAATCTTAAAAATATTTTGTTCCCAGATTTTGATGCAGATTTATGGAGAATCGATCCACAAATCGTTTAAGGTATTCCGTTCAAGAATCGGATGAATATTTCCTAAGATATGGCCTTCGCAGTGGGTCATATGGGGCTCCCCATGCATTCTGCACATTTTGAAAGGGACAGCCCAGAAAATTTGACAAAAAATCTTAAAAATATTTTGTTTCCAGATTTTGATGCAGAGTTATGGAGAATCGATCCACAAATCGTTTAAGGTATTCCGTTCAAGAATCGGATGAATATTTCCTAAGATATGGCCTTCGCAGTGGGTCATATGGGGCTCCCCATGCATTCTGCACATTTTGAAGGGGACAGCCCAGAAAATTTGACAAAAAATCTTTAAAATATTTTGTTCCCAGATTTTGATGCAGATTTATGGAGAATCGATCCACAAATCGTTTAAGGTATTCCGTTCAAGAATCGGATGAATATTTCCTAAGATATGGCCTTCGCAGTGGGTCATATGGGGCTCCCCATGCATTATGCACATTTTGAAGGGGACAGCCCAGAAAATTTGGCAAAAAATCTTAAAAATATTTTGTTCCCAGATTTTGATGCAGATTTATGAAGAATCGATCCACAAATCGTTTAAGGTATTCCGTTCAAGAATCGGATGAATATTTCCTAAGATATGGCCTTCGCAGTGGGTTATATGGGGCTCCCCATGCATTCTGCACATTTTGAAGGGGACAGACCAGAAAATTTGACAAAAAATCTTAAAAAAATGTTGTTTCCAGATTTTGATGCAGATTTGTGGAAAAGAAATCGAAGGAGTAACTTTCAGCACGAGGAGCCCTGAAAGCCTTTCGTCGGGGGGGCCCAGTGGGAAAGCGCGCCGTTGCCCACCTGTTAAATCCGCCACTGAGGATATTGGACTCACTACAACTAACCACACAATTAAAAAATGTACCCATGTGTAAATATCGATTTATTCCCTGGCATTAAAGTTTCACATGAATTCTGCCCATGATCCCTGATAAGTCTGCCTTCTCCAACAATTTACCAGCAGAGTCGCGCGGAATCCTGAGCTCCTCCCTGGCTTAAAGGCGACAATTCAATTGGAGCCCGGCAATACTAGCAGCATCTTGATAAAAACCAGGACAAGTAATAGACGGAGAGAAAATCGAGACCAAGAAAGGTAGGCGTTAAATCCGAAAATGCCGCCCAATAAGCGGCTCAACATAAAATAATCTTACGGCCGGGCCAGACCCGGTAAGTACTGCAAAAGCACTCTGGCATCGTCACCCCCCCGGAAAAAGCTACTTCTACGGAATATTGCTACCGATGCCAGGGCCATTGCCACTGCCTCAGCTCCTGGTCGTCGTAATTCCCAGGACGCAAATTATGCATTAAGCTGTAGAAAAATGCCGCATAATGTTTTCAGCCAGGACGAGATGAACGCGGGTGAGACTGAGTAGGGATTCTGGGGAGATGGAGGAGCGACTGTGATGGCGATTCCGCCTCCAGTCAGGGCAATCAAAATGTGTAAATTAGCACTGGCAGGCAACAAATCCTCTTGATGTCCATGCACATCCCCATTCCCATCCTGTCAGAAGGATCTTGATCACAGCAGACGGCTGACAGCAATTGCAATTTCCACTTTAATCTCCGCTGCACTCGGAGCCGTTCCGCAGCTTATAATTTCGTTTATAATTACACACAAAACCACTGGCCCCAGAGCCGAGAAAGCCAAATGCCACTCGACCTGCAAGTCTGCAATACCGGACTGCATTGCCACCAGAAACAATCTAGCAACAAGGCGACAAATATTGTCAACGCTGCAAGACTTGTGCCCCGAAAACGAAAACCTGGCGGCAACACTTTGCCTAATTAGCACAACGCACCGAAAATGGCACCGAAAACTCGCCGGATACGGATGCAGAATACGGATACGGACCGCACCGAAGGGTACCCCGGCCTCCACTGAACCGAACTGAACTTAACCCGCTGAGCCGGTAAATTTCCAGTTGCAAGTGGCCGAGTGGCATGCGGCATTTGGCCAGTGGCAAGTACACCATGGCCTCGGGTTGGACCACCAATTGCAGTTTTAGGCAATCAATTATGCACAGCCTGGAATCACAAATGCATAAGGTGAGGCTGCCAATTGGTTAAGAACATTCAGCAAAGTGACTTAATTGGATGATTATCGGGAGATGCAAATATTAAATAACCAGAATCCTATTTATTAAGGTTAGTGTCCTAATTTAATTATATTAATGGATTTGCAAAGAAACCGAATTAGTAACCGGATCAAAAGTTATCAACTTTCAATATGTAAATGCTTTGCTTGTTTTGTTATTTTACAAACTTCATCACGAAATCATCAATTTTACAATTAATATTTCATTCGACTCAAAAAAAATACAAAAGACGTTTTACAAAATTCCAAACCAGAAGAAATGAATTCGAAGGTATCGTTTGACACTCTTTATGAGACGGTCGGGATGGTGAAGAGTCAGTCTCCGTCGGGTCCGGAACACGGCTTTCATGAGAACGTACAGCTCCAAATTGGCCTGAAGAACTACAATCCCCAAATCCAGCAACGATTCAAGGGCAGTATCCTGCTCCACCACATCGCCAGACCGCAGCTGAGAGTGTGTGTTTTCGGTGACCAGAGACATTGCGACGAGGCCAGGTCCATTGGGGTGGACTTCCTCGATGTGGACGACCTGAAGATACTGGGCTGCGACAGGAAGTACGCCAAGAAATTGGCCAAAGACTACGACGAGTTCCTGGTGTCCGAGTCGCTTACGAAAATAGTGCCGAGGCTCTTGGGTCCTGGTCTCACCTATGCCGGCAAGTTTCCCACTCCGTTGACTCATCAAGAATCAATGAGGTCCAAAATTGACGTAATATCCACCAGTTCGCTGCAGATGAAAAAGATCCTGTGCCTCAATGTTAACGTAGGGCACGTAGGGATGGAAAACGAAAAGCTCACCCAGAACATCAACCTTTCGATCCGATTTTTGGTTTCCCTGCTGAAGGAAAATTGGCGAAACGTGCGATCGCTTCACATAAAAACCGCCATGGGTCAACCCCAAAGAATTTACTGAGTATTTAACATGTTGGGGTAACTGCAATGAATGTCGGACTTTATATGTATATTTGTTATTTCTAAAAACTGTTCTGTAAATTAACAATGAAATTATAAACGTAAGAATTATAAATCAAATAATTGCCGGTCTTCTGGCCTCTCCACATACCAGATTGAAAACACTTGAAAGCCATGTTTGCAGAATAACCCGCTCACTCTATCCCTTTTAGCCTTGGTACCTATTCAACGAAATCTCAGTAAGCTGTGACATAATTTCTCTCCCCACCCGAGCCACTCCGGCCATGGCTTACGGGGCGTATGAGCAATCCCTTTTGTTGGCTCAACAATATATTATAAATTTGTTTGCGAGATTTCGAGGGGTGCGGGGCAGATTAGCTGGATCTAAATGGGATAGATAAGACAAGTTCACGGCACATGCTGAGCACGCTAATCAGAAAGGCATTTTTATTGGGGGATCCGGCCTAGCCTGGCCCGGCCGAGGGGCAACAAATGTGCTGCGCTTGACTTATCCCCAATAATTATGGCTGTTTGTTGCTGAGCCGATAAGAATGTTGAAATAATTACGGCCTGAGCGAAAACTTTGAGCCGGATGAGAAACCGCCGCCAAAATGGCGCCTCAAAAGGCAAAGTCCCCGGAATAAGGAGCCATATAATTGCATATATTGCAGAGAGAAGCGAACGGAAAAATATGCCTCAGACTTGAGCCCGGAGTCCGGGCCAAAGTTGCTAATGTCTTATTCAAATTGAATATGAGAGGCTGCGTCAGCCTTGGAGCTCTTGGAAAACATATCGAGAAACTCAATTACGAATTCATTTCGCTTGTCAACTTTGACAGGCAGACAGACAAAGTCGCAGATACAGATACAGATACAGAGAGAGAAGCATGTATGAAGCAAGGATGGCTGGCAGCAGCATCTTCCAGTTACTAATTTCAGCTTGTAAACATATTTTAACAAAGATGTCAACAACGTGTGATACGCACACACGCAGACGAGGGCCCAACAGTTCCATCTGCCCAAGTGATATATGTCTTTCATATAGAAATACCATAAACAATGTCATTTGACATGCAAATTTATTTATGAAAATAACAGACGAACGAAACGCACAAAAAAGCAGAAACAAAGGCGGCACAGAACGCTCCAAAAAATATACGAAAAACAAAAGGAGCCGAAATCACAGGGCCCACGCACACATGCTCCATTGGCAATGAGCTGCTGAGCTGGCAAGGAAAAGCCGGCTGCGGAAAAGCTCAGAAAGGGAAAACCAGCAAGCGGCAAAAGGCAAAAGGCAAACGGCACAAGCTCGAGCTTCAGCTCCGGCTAAAGAAAAAGGCTAAGGATGCGGCAAGAAAAAGAAATTCAAGCGTAAAGCGAAAGTAACTTAAGCAGCGGCAAACTGAGCAAATAAAGTGGGGTATCTGTGGAGTGGGGCAAGTAGGAGTGGGCGGTTGGACCCGGACAACAAAGTGAAAGTTACGGCACTCGCACACACAGTCACACACGCACATGCTGAAAAATTCAACAGAATGTGGCGTGGTAGATAATTTTTTTGTCTCAATTCACAGCCCTAATATCCTTGGCTAAGGGCATTGCAATTTATTCTATATGTGTATGCATGTAGAAAATTCTGGGAAGTAGAAACATAAACAGTTTTTCAAACATTTCAACTGGCGTTTTAGATTTCATAATTTTTGGTGGAAAGGAGAGTAAAGTCATCCTATTTTTAGGGTATGCCAGCTTCGTCTACTTTGCGTAGCTCAGTCCCCTCAGCCATTGTTATCTGTCTTTGTTTTTGTGTTAGCAAAGGGCAAACAGGGAGTGGAATGGGTCAGGGTCCCAGCTCCCCAGTTGACCCGACTCCGATATCTTAATGCTCGATGCAGACAGCCGGGCAAGACAATATGTGTTCGCCCAATATTTTGATAAGTGTAAGCAAAAATAAACAAGCCGTGAAGAGCTGAACCTGAGAGAAAAAATACAGAATCCGGGAACCCAGAGCAAAAAATAAACCAAAAGTTGTGCAATCGTCGGGCCAAAACAAACTGAAAGTCGAGAGGAAGAAATGTAGAAGGACCCTGGCCCACCCTTCGGGCTGTCCGGGGACGATGACCAGGGTTAGAGAAAGTTTTGGGCATCAAAACATTCTTTTTGCATGTGTGCGTAATTCCCTAGGTGAAGAATATGGCTTTTTGAGTGGACTACTTTGGTTTTATGGCCAGCTTTCAGCTTCCAGTCAGCAAATTAAAGTTGATAGACAACGAAATTTCATTTAAATAAAGAATATAATAAGGACTATAGAGGAGGAGCCCAATTGATATTCCATGTCCAACTTGCTTGGCCAGCATGGTTGACAAACAAAATATAATTAAGCGTTTGCTTTATTTGTTTCAATCTGCGACGCATAATATTATTACGCCTGGCGGCATTCGGGCCCCTAGATTGCCAATAGCCCAAATTAATTTATTTAAGACGCCAGCGACATGACCTCGATGTTTGTGAAGGCAGAGGTCAAATTTGTGCACCAAATTATGACTTGTTCGCATGTGAACTGTGTCATTATTCGAATAGCGTGATTCCTAAATTAAATCGAAATACTTGCTGTAATCAAAGACCTTGTGATGTAACCAAAGACCTTGTATAAAAAGAATTCGTGGAAAGCCATTAGCATTTACACATCATTAAATCGATGTATGTTTATTTACCAAATACTTGACCTACCTCTCTACATACGGTAAGTAGTCTGATTTTGAGGACTTGAAGGGTTAATTCCATAAAAGAATTTTTAAATGATTCCATTGCGTTTTGAAAAACTAAATTGTCCCGACAGATGAAGAGTTGAAACCATCCTAGCATTCTGGCATTTCCATATGTGTAATATTTGCATAAAAATGACACCAACGACAATGTTGATGTCTCAGTTGAATGGTGATTGCAACTCCTGCCCTGTTCATTTCAGATTTCCCCCAAAAACGCACACATTTATTTTGGGACAAGCCCCAAACCAAGAGGATTTTGCGGCTCAAAAGCTTTAGAGCAGAAGGGAATCCGGCAGACGAGAAACTTGTTGATAGGGGTTGACCAAAGCGGCCAAGTCCTTTTCCCAGCCACTCCCGGCAGGTCCTCCTGACCATTTCGCCCAGACAACCGAAATCAATTCGAATTTAAATGTGTATTTTCCAAAGATAAGCCAGCAATATTCCAGCTGCTTGGCTTATATAAGCCAAAAAATTATATATAATGCACTTAAGTGTGCTCGGAATAAAAGTATATATGCGATTCTGATCGATGTGCGCCAATAACGCGAGCGTGTACAAGCGATTTCACTCTGGTTGGATTCGGCAATTGAACAATCAGTCAATCGCCAATCCAGAAACTCATGAAAATAGTTTGGCAAATCGAAAAACTTGACGAAAGATTAGATATGTATGATGCAGTGCATTGCAAAAAAATGCTAGTCTCTTGGGGGCTCAATAAAATTCTGGATATTGGTAGAGTCCTGCCAACGTTCAGCATAATATATTCCAACCGGCATTTGTTCCAGTATTGGCTTACCTCACTATTGTGCAGCATAAATGGTGGCCCTTTGTTTGTAGTGAGTGGCCTGGAAGCCAGACTCCGATTCGTGGCTATTGGTAACGAAATTCATGGGCCACAAATTGTAATTCCGTAGCGCCAATGTGTTCATCAACGAACGGCATAGTGAATCGCCCAAATATTTGCTCTTTGAATATTTAACATTATGTCACAGGAACTCATAAATGCTCCACCCCCGATACCCCAATCCAGTGTCCCCCAATACCATACATCCTGGGTCATCATTGTCCCTGCTTCCTGGCTGCTGTTACTGACAATGATGGAACACTGTTTGATGTTTGATTGGTTTGCCGTTGCGATGGCATCATGATTTCAGTTCCACATTTTGGGGGGAACTGTTCACGGTTCTGATTGTATTGAAAAAGTGGGCGGAATACAAATGATAAATATAAATACAATATGGCCAGGATTGGGGTACTCTGATGAGTCGTTAATGATGAAAGGGTCTGACCTGGGAATTTCTGAAAGTGTTGAAATAGACACGAGAATAATTTATTTAAGCGAACGTGGAAGTTGTACGTTTATTGAAAAGGGTTGGGTTTTTTTTGTTAGATCAGGACTTAATAATTAAAATCAAAAGTGAGTTATAGCATTAAAGCAATTTCAAGCCCTTTCAGAGACTTTAGGGCTTACTTACTGTTGTGCAAAGTACATCAGCTTAGAGGTCCTTTGGCCGAACATTCATTATGATTAGGAGTTTATAGAGAACTGCCAAAATAGCCAAGTCCACCCTCGAACGAAACTATTTTACGCTAAATCCAAAGTTAAACCGAAATGCACATAAATCACAAGCCAAACTTTTGTTTTCAGTTATCGCAGGACACCCAGACACTCAAGTGTTGTGCTAGTGCTGTGGGTGCATGTGTATGGGTGGGTGGAAAAATAGTTAGTTTATGATGCCGTCTAAGCATTTTCGACTAGTAGAACACAAACAAAACAAACGTAAATCAACAACATGAGCAGCCGCAGCAGCTCATCATAAAACTCATTTGGCTCAGTCTCGACCCCTTTTTACACCGCCCCTGCCGGCACATAGCCCAAAAAGAGACAGACATACCAAAAATGAGAGAGAGGGGTATACTCATTTCGGTGTCCTTTTTTGACTGTTTCCGTTCCATGACCACAAAAATGCCTTTCAGACCCACACACAGCCAGGCAGGAATGGAACCCAAATTAAGTACAACAAATGAGTTTTTAGGCCGCACAGACCAGTGAGGGGGCGGCGCAGGGAAGGTCAATCCCAGTGCCAAGGCAAACAAGCCAAGAAATATAAATTTCGGTAATTGATGTGGCTAATTTGTCATTTGCCAGGGCCATATCTCAGACACATTTACAGGTGGCGTTCCTGGGTTGGAGCGTGAGCCTGAGCCTGCTGAGTGATATGTTAGACATCCTGGCGGCTCAGGATCTGGGCCAGACCCCAAAGGAGCTGCTACCAGGAATACCTCACGACCCATAAAATACAGATTTGAAAGCCGGGCCACGCGTTCTGACTAAAAAGTACACAAAAAATTAAACAGACAGCAA